TTTGTCTTTGTTAACACTCCTTAAGATAGTATCTCTACTGTTTAATAACCGGCTAATAATGTGAACAAGATATATAGACTTCCGGCCACAACAAGGCTTGTCGAGTTCCATATATATCTCTAGCACCAGGATTCTCTCTTAAGGGAGTGATGTTAATAGTTTTTTTATGGTTGGATCATATCACAGGGAAGGAGAATATCAATTAGAAAAAAGAACGTAAAAAGTCGAAAATCATAGAAAACAATTGATTAAATAACCAGAAATGTGCGCGCGATAATTAAAATGACAAATACAACAAATAGGAAAAGAGAACTTCCCTAAAGTACTTGCAAATAGGCCGTACAACAAGATCGACTCTATATCGAAATGTAGAGATTAAAATAAGACCACGAAATATAGGCTGTTCCACTATTTTTTGAAACTCACGATAACTCGTAATGCATTTAAACGGATATCGTACTAAGATAAGCCGAAAAACAACCAAATGTCTCTGAAAAAACTAAATTGAATTAAAAAGTAAGCTTACTAAAACTAATAAAGCTGAAAGCAACTGCAGGAAGCTAAAGATTTCCGTCTTTGTTGATGCAGTAATAAGCGTAACTAAGCCCACTAAAATGCATATAGTAGTTATCAAAGTATAGCTGACTAGCACATACGGGCAACTTAAGAATTACGTAAACTTCTATACCTTTTGGGAAATTGGGCTTCCAGATTCTGGCGACTTATCGCTCCCTCCATGGCTCCCTCACTGGCAGTGCTGCGTCACCGTGATCCCGCGCCGATGCTATCGAGCCTGATCCGGGTCAGACAATTACAAAAATAGAACCCGATAAATATCTGGCGCGAGTGAAATGTGCTGACAAACCGAAATTCCCTCGCCTGTCTATTTTTTTTATTCCTTAACGATTATCTATATGAGACTACGCGAATCTGGGATTTTTCATGTCCCAGCCTTTCTCTGGAATAGTAACCAGCCGTAACGGAACTCGTTGAACATAATCCAGTCTTAGATTACCGCGAGTTTTGGTGTGAGTTGGAACCACAACCGCCCGCCCCCAAACCACCCCATTGTCATCAACCTTCGTTCTCGCATCCTTGTGGTTTACTACGAGTAGATAATTAACACTAATTCTGACGAGTTGAAGCGTATAGTTGAAGACTGGAGCTGGGAAGGAGACTTCCCGTAAATCGCAATGGTTTATGGCAGAAACGGAGTATTGCTGGATAATTGTTGCCGTTGTCGACGGCGTTCTCAACGTTTAGTCGGATCGCAGGTCGTCTATCTGCCTATGTTTGCACTCCAATCTCCCCCCTTCCCCAACGATGTTGACTTCATGTGTACTTTCGTTTCAGATATTGCGCTTCCTACTTCCGAACCCAACGCAGTTCAGATCACAGACTCCACCTCCGACACCCACTCCTCCATTGCCCAGTCAGCTGTTTCGCCAACGACCAGCACGCATGCTCCAGCC